GAACAGGGGAAGTAGAAAAGGCCTGTGCAGGATCGGCCTATGAGGAGCGGCTCAAAGAACTGGGTATGTTTAGCCTGCAGAAAAGAAGGTTGAGAGGATTCATGATAGCCGTGTATAAATACGTGAAAGGATGTCAGAAGGAAAAGGGAACAGTTTGTTTTTTGCTGACCATGAAACTAGGACTCGGAGCAATGGGTTCAAATGACAAGGAGATTCCACCTGAACATTAGGAAGAACTTTCTGATTGTAAGAACTGTTGAGCAGTAGAGTGTGGTGGGAATTCTTTATTGGAAACTTTTAAACAGAGGCTGGATGGCTATCTGCTAGTGGTACTTTGATTATGTTTTTCCTGCAAGGAAGGGAGTTGGACTAGATGGTCTATGTTGTTATTATTACTTCATTTTTTTGTCTAATTCTTGTTAGTGTATTTTAATATGCACTGTATGAAAATATCGTTTAATGTGCATTTTACAGAGTGTTTTAAAACAATTATGTGTTTTTGATTTTGTGTTTTGATTATCTTGTAACCCGCCCCGAGCCTTGAGGAGAGGTGGGCAAGAAATAAAATTATTATTATTATGTGGTCTCTTCCAATTCTATTTTTCTATTATTCAAAGCACAGTCTCATATGCAAGTGCATGTTTCCACATTATTTCAAGTTAGTACTATGTGGCCTCATCACTTTAAAGATCCCTCTAAAACAGGCACGGGCACACTTCGGCGCTCTGGGTATTTGGGATTTCAAGTTTAACAACAGCCGGTAGGCTGTTACAAAATGTGAGAGTTGAAGTCCAAAACACCCAGAGGACCGAAGTTTGCCCATGCCTGTCATTACTATGCCAAATTGCATCAAAGAAACACTATGCTTTCAAGAGGACCAATGCCAAGTAGAAAAGTCTCCGGTTACAGCTGGATGCTTCCCCCTAAAATTTTCTGGATCACTGTGTGCATTTGAATCCAATATTTCTTGGCATGTTTGCATGTCCACCACAAACCCCACTTGTTGTTTATATTTCCAGCAAATATTGGAGCTCTTTTTATATATCTTAGAGAGCTTTCAGGTGTCTACTTGGTCTGACTGATAAAAATAACCAGATAGACTATGGCAATATATTACCACAGCAGCCAGACTACTATACGCACAAAATTGGAAGAGTACAATACCAACAATGGAGGAATGGATAATAAAAATGATGGACTTCGCTGAAATGGACAAATTAACATGTCTACTAAAAGAAGGGACACTGAAAACTTTTTTAAAAGACTGGAAACTTTTTATTCCCTTTTTGCATGAAGGAGCCTCCGGTGGTGTAATGGGTCGACTGACAGGTTGGCGGTTCAAATTCAGGGAGTGGGATAAGCTCTCATCTGTTGAGCTCTAGCTTTTCATGCAGGGACATGAGAGAAGCCTCACACAGGATGGTAAAACATCAGTCATCCAGGATCCTCTGAGCAATGTCCTTGCAGATGGCCAATTCTTTACAACTTTACAGAGTCATAATCTTTATTGCCCTGATGGAGATTATGTTCCTTCAGTATAAGCAGTTGAGAATTAATTTAAGCGATAGGAGTTTGTGCAGCTGTTTATGAGCACACAATTTCCTTCCAAATTTCTTTTAAAAGAAATAACCTTAGTTTCCTTAGTGAAGGTAATGCTGCCATTATTTACTATCCCATTGTAGTGGTGACAGACGTTTTCTACTTTCCCTCATTCTCTCTCTCTTTTTTTTTTTTTACACAAGAATAACATAAGATATAGGCTGGATCTTGGAAAACACGCACTAAATACTCAGAAAGAAGCGAACTTGATCCATTATCTCTCCCCCCCTTTTCCTCCCAAAATCATGTTTCATTAGGCAACAATAACCTGAAAGTACTGGATTATGGACCTCTCAATTTTAGTCTTTGCTTGCAGGAGAATGCCTCCCTTAGCGCTCCATGCTGGCAAAGTGCTGCACAGAATTTGGGACAACTCTTTCAAAGAGATGATTTAGAGGGGCCTCAAAAGTAATGATTATCCTTCTGACACTATGAAAACAACAAAGGCTGGTAGGAATTGAAGTCCAAAACACCCGGAGGGCCGAAGTTTGCCCATGCGTGCTCTAAAATCACATCTTTTTTTTCTTTATAGAAGTGTGTATAAATATGAGTAGCAATAGAAACTAAGTGTAAACAAGAGGTTGTAATGCTGAAACAATACAAAATATTGTACAAAAAGAAAAAAGGATGGGCCAATGCCATGTTATGTTGTTGTTTGTTTTCTATCCAGAATCACAATGTTGCAAGGGGCCTCACCGCTTTAAGGTCCCTTTAAAACAGGCATGGGCAAACTTGGGCCCTCCAGGTGTTTTGGACTTCATAGAATCATAGTTGGAAGAGACCTCATGGGCCATCCAGTCCAATCCCTGCCAAGAAGCAGGAATACTGCATTCAAAGCACCCCTGACAGATGGCCATCTAGCCTCTGTTTAAAAACCTCCAAAGAAAGGGCCTCTTTTATAAAAGATCATCTCAATAAACACTTTATAAAGACTCCCAAAGGGTTGTGCTTCTTTTTTACCATAGCACCAAAAAAGAGAAATCCCATCATTCACGGCTTGAAACCAGACAAGTGTGAGTTAGTGAGCCGATTCTGATAAATGGTTTCCGCAAAAAATCATCGCAATTTGATACACACATGCACACATATGAATGACTGAGGTTCCTATCACCCACAACTTGGAAGTCACCCCAAAATTGAATCCCTGCTGAATGGCTCTCACAGTCAGGAAGTTCTTCCTCATGTTCAGATGGAATCTCCTTTCTTGTAGTTTGAAGCCACTGTTCCGCGTCCTAGTCTCCAGGGAAGCAGAAAACAAGCTTGCTCCCTCCTCCCTGTGGCTTCCTCTCACATATTTATACATGGCTATCATATCTCCTCTCAGCCTTCTCTTCTTCAGGCCAAACATGCCCAGCTCCTTAAGCCGCTCCTCACAGGGCTTGTTCTCCAGATCCCTTGATCATTTTAGTCGCCCTCCTCTAGACACATTCCAGCTTGTCAATATCTCTCTTGAATTGTGGTATGATATGTTCATGGCCACCCAGTAGGTTTGCATGGCTAAGCTGGGATTTGAACTATGTCTCCCAGAGTTCTAGCCCAGCACACACATCACTGGTTCTGTAGTGGAGGGTTCACATAGTAGAAAAGCAAGCACATAGTATAGATGTTGCAAAGTAGTGTTGCAAATGCTCTCTTGAATTGTGGTGACCAGAATTGGATACAATATTCCAGGTGTGGTCTCACCAAAGCAGAATAGAGGGGTAGCATGACTTCCCTAGATCTAGACACTATGCTCCTATTCCTCTCACATATTTACACATGGCTATCATATCTCCTCTCAGCCTTCTCTTCTTCTGGCTAAACATGCCCAGCTCTTTAAGCCGCTCCTCATAGGGCTTGTTCTCCAGACCCTTGATCATTTTAGTCGCCCTCCTTTGGACACATTTTTGACTTCAACTCCCACCATTCCTAACAGCCTCAGGCCCTTTCCTTTCCTCCCTCAGGCGCTTTGCCTGAAGCTGTTAGGAATGGTGGGAGTTGAAGTCCAGAACACCAGGAGGGCCCATATTTGCCCAAAGCCTGAGACACATTACCAGCTCCTTAAGCTGCTCCTCATAGGGCTTGTTCTCCAGACCCTTGATCATTTTAGTCACCCTCTTCTGGACACATTTTGGACTTCAACTCCCACCATTCCTAACAGCCTCAGGCCCTTTCCTTTTCGCCTGAAGCTGCCAGGAATGGTGGGAGTTGAAGTCCAAAACACCGGGAGGGCCCATATTTGCCCACAGCCTGAGACACATGACCAGCTCCTTAAGCTATTCCTCATAGGGCTTGTTCTCCAGACCCTTGATCATTTTAGTCACCCTCTTCTGGACACATTTTGGACTTCAACCCCCACCATTCCTATCAGCCTCAGGCCCTTTCCCTTTCCCCCTCAGGCGCTTCGCCTGAAGCTGTTAGGAATGGTGGGAGTTGAAGTCCAAAACACCGGGAGGGCCCATATTTGCCCACAGCCTTCGACTGAGACGAGACCTCCTCTTCCAAAATCCTGTGCAGCCCTTTGCTGCCAATGTATTGTCGAAGGTTTTACTTGGGGCCAAGTCCAACAGAACAGTGAAAACATAACAAATTAAAATGTAAAGCAACAATATAGAATAAGACAAAATAAGACCATTATAACAAAATATAAAACAGTGATCAAACCAATAACCAACTGAGAATGTATTGTCGAAGGCTTTCATGGCTGGAATCACTAGGTTCTTGTGGGTTTTTTCGGGCTATAGGGCCATGTTCTAGAGACATTTCTCCTGACGTTTCGCCTGCATCTATGGCAAGCATCCTCAGAGCATGCTCCTTAGTCCCAAGCTGGATCCTGCCAGCTTGGGACTAAGTAGCAGCGAGAGAGAACTTCTAGTGCCAGCCAAGACTTGAACCACACAGTCCACAATCCTTGTCTCTCAAGTTACTTTCAGGATAATAACGAAACACAGGTTTGGGAAGGAAAAGCAAAGACTTCAAAGAAGGTGGCTGAAGTTAAAGAAGAGAAAGGGACAGGATGCAGAGACTGGGGAGGGGGGGGGACACAAGGAGGAAAGAAAGAAAGGAGAGGGGGGAGGCAGGCAAGGGCGATGACAAGAGACAAGAGAAGAAAGAAAAGAAAAGCGCTCGGTGGTTGAAGGAAGGAGGGAAGGAAGTAGAGAAGGAAGGAGGGGTAAAGGGCGGCGTTTGCCTAAATCCTGAGGGAAATGAAGAGGAGCCACGCAAGGGAGACTGAGGGGGGGATTCTCCTCAGGCTCTTGTTTGGATTCTGAGGCGGGAAGGAAAGGCGAGCCCTCAACTCCCTCAGGGCCGGAATCGCCGCCTAGGGGGCTTCCTGGGTATTATCGCCCCTCCGAGGAGCCACCGACTGCCCCCCACTTCCTCCTCGCACCCCTTTCTTCCCCTCCACGCCGAACACTTACTCTTTCTTGGCCACTCAAGGGCTCCCTTCTTCCCAGCCTCGCTCTGCTCCCGCCGCCGCTTCTGCCGCCATTTTGATCCGAGGCTCCAGCCAGGCTGGTTCGGCCGGGGGGGGGGGAAGCCGTGGAGCGAGTCTGCGCAGTAGCGCCCTCCCGGGTCACGTGGTACACTAAAGAGGGAAGGGAGGGAGGGAGGGAGGCAAAAGTATGGGCTGAGGGGAGCTTCTTTCAGTTTGGCGACACTTTGGATTCATGGCTGCCTTCTCTATTAAAGAGTGATGATGCTGTGTTTTGTACTCCAGCTCCCACAATTCCCAAGATCAAGCATGGACCAACTTTGGCCCTCCTCCAGGTGTTTTGGACTTCAACTCTCAAAATTCCCAAGATCAGACACAGGCCAATTTTGGCCCTTCTCCAAGTGTTTTGGACTCCAGCTCCCACAATTCCCAAGATCAGGCATGGACCAACTTTGGTCCTCCTCCAGGTTTTTTGGACTTCAGCTCTCACAATTCTTAAGATCAGGCATGGGCCAACTTTGGTCCTCCTTCAGGTGTTTTGGACTTCAGCTTCCACAATTCTAAGATCAGGCATGAGTTAACTTTGGTCCTCCTTCAGGTGTTTTGGACTTCAACTCCCACAATTCCTAAGATCAGGCATGGGCCAATTTCAGCCCTCCTTCAGCTGTTTTGGATTCCAGCTCCCACAATTCCAAAGATCAGGCATGGGCCAACTTTGGCCCTCCTTCAGGTGTTTTGGACTTCAGCTCTCACAATTCCCAAGATAAGACACAGGCCAATTTTGGCCCTTCTCCAGTTGTTTTGGACTTCAACTCCCACAATTCCAAAGATCAGGCATGGGCCAACTTTGGTCCTCCTCCAGGTTTTTTGGACTTCAGCTCTCACAATTCCCAAGATCAAGCATGGACCAATTTCGGCCCTCCTTCAGGTGTTTTGGACTTCAGCTCCCACAATTCCTAACAGCCTACTGGACAGTAATGAAAACACCAAGACATTGACATTTCTCGCCCATCCTCTGTTTGGGTAGAGGCAGCATGCCAATGTCTTCAATAAAGCAGCAGCTTCCTAAGGTCTACAGCAGGAGTCCTCAAACTAAGGCCCAGGGGCCGGATGCGGCCCTCCAAGGTCATTTACCCGGCCCTTGCTCAGGGTCAACCTAAGTCTGTAACGACTTGAAAACACACAACAACAACAATCCTATCTCATCAGCCAAAAGCAGGGCCTCACTTCCCATAGAAATGCTAATAAATTTATATTTGTTAAAATTGTTCTTCATTTTTATTATTGTATTGTTTTAAAGTGGTTTTTGCACTACAAATAAGATATGTGCAGTGTGCATAGAAATTCATTCATGGTTTTTTTTCAAATTATAATCCGGCCCACCAACAGTTTGAGGGACTGTAACCTGGCCCTCTGTTTAAAAAGTTTGAGGACCCCTGGTCTACATAGATACTCACAGGGACACCTCAGCAAGCGGGAGTCCAAAAGTGGCAACTTAAAACCCGGATTCTCAATCAGAGGCTGATACTGGATGAAAAACTCCCCCTTGGGCACACAGAAGACTGGTTGACTTGGAAGATGCTGAACAGGCAGCACTCTGGCACCACAAGATGCAAAACCAACCTTAAGAAATGGGGCTACAAAGTTGAGTCCACCAACATACAAGTATGGCAAAGAGAAAACCATAGACCACTTCCTGCAATGCAACCTGAGCCCTGCCACATTCACAATGGATGACCGTCTTACAGCAACACCAGATGCACTTGAAAGAGTCAGCTTCTGGTAAAAAGAAATTTAGTATAATGCCAAGTTTTAAAGTTTTTTGTGGTTTTTTATATGTTATAACTGTATTCTCAATTCACTTCTGATATGATAAATAAACAAATAAATAAATTGTAGAATTGATTTATTCTGTCTCCAAAAGTCCCTAGAACTAATCAGGTCTGAATTTCCTCCAGAAGCCAAGATTAGTAAACTGTGGCTGTTATATGTTGGCCATATCATTAGAAGACATGATTCATGAGAAATAATGATGATGAATTAATTCTACAGTGTAGATCAATGGTTTCCAACTTTTTTTTTGACGAGGGACCACTTGACCAGAGACCACTCTCCAACCACAAGTACCAAAAGGGTTACGAATCAACTTTTGGTCAACTTTAGATTCGGTTTGGTTATTTGAGGTGCTGATTCAGAAAATTGTATTGGATAGACCACATCAACTTTAGTTTCTGATACAGAACATATGCCATCCAGTAATCGCTATCTGCTTACCCACAGAAAACCATATTTAATAATCTAGAGCTGATGTGGTCTATTCAATGCAATTTTCTGAATCAGTACCCCAAATAACCCCAGGAACAGGCCTAAAAACAAAGACACCTAAGCACCCCCGCTTCAAGGAGTGACATGGAATGGCTCTACTCAGGGGAAGGGAGGAGGAAAAGCAGCATCCAGGAAGCTTATTGTGCCTTTCGTTGGTTGTCAGCCTCTCCCCTCTCGACATTCCCATTGCCTTGGCATTATAAGAGGGTTTTTTGAGACCAGTCACTCTTGTTGCAACAGTGTAGTAATGGCGAGGTTGCAGACCATATTTTAGTTCTTGGGGACCACTGGTGGTCCATGGACCACAGGTTGGGAACCACTGGTGTAAATGCACCCCTGAAGGTCTCTCATTCATATAGTCACTATCAGTCAAAGGGTGGATCTACACTGTAGAATTAATTCAGTTTGAGACTACTTTAACTGCCATGGCAGTTGTAGTTTACAAAAAATTGAGCCTTCTCTGCTGAAGAGAGCTGGAGCCTCTACAAACTACAAACCTCATAATTCCACAGTGTTGGATCATGGCAGTTAAAGTGGTGTCAATCCACATTAATTCTATAGCGTAGATGCATCCAAAGTCAACTTGAAGGTAATTAACAATGAAGAATTGAAGCACGCAGCCACTAAAGTTAAAGCAGCGGTGTGCACTTACTTGGGAATAAGTATTATTTAAAGCAATAAATATTTATTGCTTTCTATCGCTGAGTACATATATGTATAATCAGGCTGTGTGCTACTAACATTCCTTTTAGCATTCCCATGCAAGAAACATTCAGGCTTTCTATGGACATACTGGCACCAGCGACAATTTATTAGCTGAAAGAACTATGTTTTTTAAACACATCATTTCATCCCATGTGTCAGTGTCTACAGATGCATTTGTAATATATATATATATATATATATATATATATATATATATGGTTGGGGATGCTATAACTAAGCAATGCGGGTGATTAGGAATCAAGATCAGGGCTGAATGCTGTGTGTGGACTATAACTTTAAAATGCCTAGTGCTCTTAACCCTCCTCCTGGCAGACAGTCCTTCAGAGTCTTATTTCATTGCAGAAATAGCGTAGAACTTGACATACAAGACAGGCGTTTTAGTGAAAGAGTTGTAAACAACACCCTTGAGTTCCATTCACCTACGAACATTATTTTTTTAAAAGACAATGGGAAAAATAGTCGTATTTTAAAGAGATAGGGATTTTATATGTTGCTATTTTGTAAAAAAAGAAAAAGAAAGTAAGAAAGAAAAAGAGGAAGAGCTAATCGCTGCACAAAACAAATGTTCCATCTCATACGTTTTCTAGCTTGGCAGTTAGGGCATTGTGAAATACCCCACATTCGCAGTTTTGATTTGATGTTCTCTCTAGAAATTTCTAGGTGGTACACTGGCAGGGATTTCTAGGAGTTGTAGGCCAAAACACCTGGGAACCCACAGGTTGAGAACCACTGCTCTAATTTATTTTTTTATTTACTGTATTTGTATACCGCCTTTCTCAGCCTTTCGGCGACTCAAGGCGGTTTACAGGCAACAAGTAATACCCATAATATCAAATGCACATAAAAACATTAAATATAATATAAAACCACAACAGAAATGATAAGCAACAGCCAGGAGACAGGTGTTTTTAAAGTCTCTTCCTCAGTCCCCTTTCTCCTCTTAGCTGGCTTGGGGGCGGGGGAGAAGCAGCATGATTTCCTCCTTCTCCTCCTGAGGTGGCAGGCAGATGTAGTAAGCAACAGCCAGGAGACAGGTGTTTTTAAAGTCTCTTCCTCAGTCCCTTTCCTTCTTTTAGCTGGCTGGGGTGGGGGGGGGAGCAGCAGGATTTCCTCCTCCTTCTCCTGAGGTGGCAGGCAAATATAGTAAGCAACAGCTAGGAGACAGGTGTTTCTAAAGTCTCTTCCTCAGTCCCCTTCCTTCTTTTAGCTGGCTGGGGGGGAGCAGCAGGATTTCCTCCTTCTCCTCCTGAGGTGGCAGGCAGATGTAGTATTGTTGCTGGGTGGAGAGGCTCCCAGCCGATGACCCACGAGACATGATGGAAATCTATCTTCCTGGCTCCCCCACATCACTCTGGCTTCAGAGTGTCAGTTGGTGCTGGGAGGAGGGGAAACTTCTTCTGGTCATGCTGGAGGACCTAGAGATTTCTAGAAAGAACACTTCTCTAGGAACTTCTAGGTCCTGCAGTTCATTATGCATTCAGTATCTAGCAGAAGTTGATCTTGGAAAAACCTAGGGCACACCTACATTCAGTTTGACACCCTTTAACTGCCATGGCTCAATGTTGTGGAATAATGGGTGTTGTTGTCTTGCAATGTATGTAGCCTTCCCTGCCAAATAGTTTTGGTGCCTCACCAGACTTAAACTCCCATGATTCCATTGCATTGAGCCATGGCAGTTAAAGTGGTGTTCAGCTGCATGAATTAAACTGCATTAAAGTGTAGAAGTACATTAACATTCTTGCTGGGTTTGGAAAGTGCTCCGGATTGTATATCAGTGAAAGTGGCTTTTTTTTTCTAATTGCCTGTTCCAAAACACACAGCCCTATTCTTGATTCAGCAGTACAGTCAGGAGTAATTAGCAATGCAGAATCAAAGGGTGTGGATTAGTATCCATGCTGAAAAATAAATTAGAGCACCTGTAGTCTTTAGCCTTGATATCAGAAGGAAGCACAAAACAGCTCTTTCATCCATTTCACCGCACTCAGGACTAATTTTGTACTTCTCAGTCATCTAAACTGTGACATTATTGTGTAATGGATCAAAGAATTGC